TCCCAAAGTGGAGAAAATTCAATAGCAAGGTAAACTACAAAGCACTGTCCTTCACATTACTTTTGCTATGATGTACAGCCTTTGTTTTTCATCGTGTCTGTTCAAGAGCAACATTAGCAGGGTAGCATAGGGAAACATTAGTCTGTAAATGGAGCTGTGGCGTCCATAGTTGATAAATGATCAACAGAATAAGTAGGTTAAATGTCTTACCAGTCATCATCTCAGCTAGCCAAAATTTTAGCTTTCAAACTGCTGCTGTGTGTGAGCATTACTGAAAACATGGAAACAGTTCTTGGTTTGTGTTTGCAACGTGTTTTAGAATGAAAACAAACCACCAACAAACTAAAAACCTCACCTACAACAACAAAAAACTGAAATAGCATGGGATTAATAGGCGATATTATACCAGCCCAATGACAGGGGGAAGGTTGCTCACTCTTAAGAAACCTTTATTTTAAATATGCTTTCAAGTGATGTTTATCACTGTGTCATTAGACCTTCCAGTTTTCCCTCCAGTTCTTTGCATGCTGCTTCAGCTTTTACTAACTCCTTAGAGTCCAATGCCAAAGTAATAATGGCAAACTTTTTCAGAACTATAAGAAGTCATACATATATATAAATTTTCCTCTGATGAAAAGAAGTCTAATTGTTCAATCATTTTGCAGCAAATGTCTTCATTGACTGTACTTGTCTTGTCCATCTTGTAAAGGTTAATTCATCCTAGAACTAGAGTATGCCACTTCAGATTCAGTACTATAGGTTAGATGCAAACAGCTCCAAAAGCATGTGTGAGTTCTGGATAACCACTCATGTCCCTAGAGCACGTGTCACCTGGCACAGGTTCAGGAGCTGCTGCCATCTCTGTTCAGAGCCTTGAGCAGATTAAGGTTGAGAATTCTTCCTTCAAGCATTGTTTATCAAAGATTTATTTGAACTGTGTGCAGTTTGTATATTTGCCCTCCATTTAATGCAAGGAGATGCATTATTGTAAATGTGGTGACTTTATTCACATGTCTTCAACTTGAGTGAGTTTAGACTTCTGCACATTTACTATTTACTCTGCAGGATAATAATAAGTGTTGCGATTTACTTTTTTTTTAAATGATCCTAGTGTTTTTACTTGTACAGGTTTGTTTCTTCAGATGATTTCCCTTTCAAGAAGCAAATTATTTAAGTGCATTATACTGCTTTGGGGGTTTTGTTCTTTTTGTTTGCTTTCAAAAAACACACATGCAACTTCAGTCTTGGGTTGCAACAGGTAATAAATGTTCATTTAACTGGTGCAGCACTGATCAGTGTAGATTGCCTATTTTGTGTAGGTAACACAAGCTTTTTATCTGTTGTCACAATATTTATGCTTTGTTTACATTAACATGGTACTATGGTGGTAGAACAAAACCTAGTTGTGCTGGGGACCTGATGTTGACACTACTGAGTTGTGGGGAGAGAGGAAGTCTGGTCCCATCAACTGAACAGTTAGCACAGTAAATACATTCATCTTCTGCTTTGGTTTCATCCAAAATGAGTCCTCTTATACACTCCTAGGACTTGCAAGCCAGAAGGTAGCAAGTGAAAATCATCAGAATATGAGCAAAAAGTATTGCTTCAAGACCACTTTGTTAATTATCCCAGGTACAGCAGCCCACCTTCCAGGTTTAGAGCAGACTGAAGAGAACAGTAAGCGTCCCATGGCTGTGCTTTGAAAGGAAAAGCCCTTGAAACGTGCACCCCTGTAAACTAATTGGGTAGTGTTGCTGTTTTCATTGTTCTGTGATAGACTATTGTACCTGTTCAAATATACCGTTAAACTGTGGTACACAGGAAAGGAGTTTTAATGGTTGTAGCTTTTAAAACTTGTGAAAGCCCCAGCAGGCACCTTTACTCTCAGGACTTTTTTTTTTTTTTTGTTTACCCTGAATATTACTTGGAGCGGTTCTGAGGAAGAGATAGCAGTAATTTTAAGGATATGGTCACCTCATGAAGTAGAGGCAATGTATATATATTTAACTTCATGATTCTAGTGCAAGGTTTATAGATATATGAAGGTACATGGCTGTTCCCAAAATTCTGTAGCTTCTTCCACAGAAACACCAGTTCTACAGCATTGATTAGAAGCAAAAGCTGAGGCTCAATGCTGTTGTGATTGGTAAGTCATAATAGTGCCATGTGTGGAAAGGATTTAGTGAAGTCTTCAGACCAGGCTACTTTAATCAGAGAAGTCTAAAGAAAAAGTTTGCCCATCTAATGGTCATTAGAAAGTGCTATTTTAAAAAAAAAAAAAAAAAGCCACAAACGATAGCTGTTCTGTTTTTCTGGGTATTTAAACTCTGTACTTGTTACCTTGTCTAGCATAATACTGGAAGAGCGAAGTTTCTTAAAATGTTTGTGCTGCTTGAAGTGGGGAAGGGAAGGTAAAACCTGTAGATGGTTTATTTCAGAAATATTCCTATATATATATGGGCTCATGCTGCTTATGAACCAGGCTTTTCTTAGGAAGAAAAAAAAAGCTACTTAAATTTTGTGTAACAGAGAAGGACAAAGGGGTTTACAAATGCCATCCACAGTTGCATTTGTTCATTTGCCACCTTGCAATATACCATATTTCTAACAAGCATTTTAGTTCTTAGAAATGGGAGATTACATCACTGTCCTGTCATTCACACGCTTCATTGCTAGGCAACAGTTAATGTAATTCCGTTGTTCAGTGACACTGCTTTGAGTCTTTGCTTTGTGTGCAGAAGTTGTATGTCTGCATTTTGCCATGTTGTACCTCACATTGCAGGATTTGTAGAGTTGGATTAGCATTTCAAGATCTTTGTGCACAGGGATGATTTTGTAATAGCTTGTTCACTTCACATTTTCTTGTCTAGAGAAGATGTCTTGCTGTTGGTCTTCGACTGCTGCTGACTTTTCAGTTTCATTACTGTTGTATCTACATAGCACTTTATTGTGGGTGAACGTGAGCCTCCTAGATGCTTTTGAAATTCCTGTAGAGTACACCCTTGCCTTCACTGCAGAAAGTGGCAGAGGTGAAATATGTTGCTCAAATCCATGCAGAACTGGTGATAAGCTTGAGCTGTCTCTTAATACCTTTTTTCCTTTACATGGTGTTTCTGTAACAGCGCTGCAGGGGATATTCCATACGTAAACTATTACTCTTGTAGAACGTATGCAGTAGTTTTATAGGAAGTAGTTGCAGTAATATTGCAGTACATCTTGCACATCGTAGCAAACAGTGCTGAAATACTTGGTAGCAGTCATCTTGTGTCTTGTCTTGTGCCACACTGAACAGGTTGCCCAGGGAGGCTGTGGAATCTCCATCCTTAGATTTGCAAGATGTTGGACAAAGCCTTGAGCAACCTGGTCTGAATTCATTGGTGACCTTGCTTTGAGCAGGAAATTGGACTGAATGATCTTCTGAGGTCCCTTCTGGCCTGAACTATTGATTGATTCTTTGATGACCCAGTCTTGTAGTAATGTAGCAATTGGAACCAGAGATACGTCTGTCCACCCTCTTCTTCACAGTGCAGGGATAGGGGTGGTTACACATCATTAGAAGAAGGGAGAGCTGGAAGCAGGCTGCATTGTTCTTCCTCAGATCAGAGCTGAAGTGTGTGATATTCAAACCAAGAGAACTCTGAGTCCAGGGCGTGGTTTAGATTGTAGTGGGGACACTACACTTTACAGCAAAATTTAATTCTCCTGATCATAGCTTAGTTCTTGCATCTTCTGAGTGGATTGTTTTAGCTTAACCCTATAGTGGGACACCAGAAAAGTGTCATGGAATATCCAAATTATAAAATCAATTGAACATACATGATTCATTTTAATATATAGGAGCACTGTTTTATTCTGCAGCAAGTGTGGAGACAGCTATGAAAGACATATGTAAAGTAAAAACTGCTGAGGCCCTTTTGTGTTTAAATAAGCGTGTGTTAGCTGGCTCCTCAAGCACCAGCTGGCTGTCCTTCACTAGGTCTGCTCAGCTTACAGTTAATGAAGGTATTGATGTGTTGGGATCCCTGTAACTCTAAGGGAGGTAAGGTCATATTGGATTGATATAAGTGCTTTGTCGTAGTGTTTAAAGTGGCAGATCACTCTTACAGGTCTTATTTGCAGTAACTTTAAGTGATTTGTTTTTTTGTCTTCTTTAATAAAATACCATTTTATACAATAGTCCTTCTGAGAACATGTCTTTTAGAAGATGTGTGGCATGTGTCTCTAGGTATCTGGCTCTTTTAGCATATTTGTTCCTACCTACCTTGTGGTTAGAATCAGATTTTTCCAGTGCTGTGAACGCTTACACTTCA